TTTCTCATGCAGCAGATCGATAGATTTAGAAACGATTGTCAGTCTCTGAAGAACGACGAAAACGTTGGGAGAAGGGAGAGAGCGCTCCTCAGGGAGCAGTTGGACAAAGCGAAGAACGACTACCAAGTTCTGAAGAACATGCTTCCGGACACCGTGAGGTTGTGCAAACAGTACAAGAGCCTCTCGGATATGAACTCCCTGCTGAAGGCTCAGTGCGAATCGTACAAGGAGGACTTCGAGCACGAGCGCCGCGATCGAGAGCTTATGGCATCCCGAAGCAAGGCGTCCAACGAACCGAAGATGAGGTCCATCATCAGGCAGCTCCAGCAGCTGCTGCGGAGAGGACACGACGACGTGGAGGTGGACGGTGCCGGGGGCGGCAACGACGAAGAAAGCAGCAGCGACGAAGAAGATCGCGGTGTGTGTGCTGCTCGTCCGACGAACGGCATTTTCGATCGGTCGATCCCTCCTCACTCGGTCGACGTCGAACTGCTCGCCGCGTGCGACAAGCTGCTCGCGCAGCACGGAGAAAATGTGTTTTGAAAAACCAATAAAAGAGCAAACGAAAACAAAATTGTTATTAGTTTCGCATTGTTTTTCTTTTCTACCTAACATCTATCGGTGGCAAACGAATAAAACAACAACTATGGACCTGTACGACTTCTCGGGCCACTTAATGGACGGTGCTTTCGGAAGCGTTTACTCGGCGATCAGAAGAGCCGACGGACTGCCGGTCGCCGTGAAGGTAGTGAGAAACTCCTCGGCGTCCTACCTGACGAACGAATCGGGCGAAACGATATTGGCGGAGGCGCACTTCCTACGTGTGGTCTCGGGGATCGAGGGTTGCACCGGATTTGTGGACGTTCACCAGGTCAAAGATTGTCATTTACTCGTGATGGAACGGCCACTTCGGAGCTCCGACCTATTTCAAGTTCTGGAGAAAGTCGGCAGTATCCCGAAGGAGAGATGCAGATGCTTCTTTCGGCAAATCGTGGACGCCTGCGTCGGTTGCTTGAAACGAAACGTAGTTCACGGAGACCTGAAGATGGAGAACGTGATCGTCGATCTGAACACGGACAGGATCAAGCTGGTGGACTTCGGTTTTGCCAAATTCGTCGACGACAAACCGATCACCA